TCTAGTTGGCTTATCTACATATTGAGTCAGAAATCCTTCCTGGACACATCTGACAAAATCTGTTCAATCCAAACTATTTGCACTAAGGAGTTTCCAGTCTATATTAGAGAAGTTGAAGTCACTCATGACAACAACCCTTTTACTTCTGCACCTTTCCAAAATCTGCCTCCCAATCTGTTCCTCAGTGTCTCTGTTGCTACTGGGGGGTCTTTAGAAAACTCCCAATAAAGTGACTGTTCCTTTCCTGTTTCTGACTTCCACCCATACTGACTCAGTAGACAAACCCTCCTAGACCCTTTCTGCAGCTGTGATACTATCCCTGATTAGCAATGCCATTCCCCCACCTCTTTTACCATCCTCCTTATTTCTTTTGAAACATCTCAACCCCGGAACATCCAACAACCATTCCTGCCCCTGTGATATCCAAGTCTCCGTAATGGTCACAATATCGTAGCTCCAAGTACTGATCCATGCTCTAAGTTCATTACCCTTATTCCTGACACTTATTGCATTAAAATAGACACACTTCAACCTGTCACACTGACTGCAACTTTTCCCTATCAACTCTCTATCCTTCCTCACAGCCTCTCTGCATGCTGTATCTGCCCGTATACCAGCTTCCCCTATCCTCTGATCCATAGCTCGGGTTCCCATCCCCTTGCCAAACTAGTTTAAACCCTCCCGAAGAGCTCTAGCAAACCTCCCGCCCAGGATATAGGTGCCCCTCCAGTTCAGGTAAGCCCGTCCTTCTTGTACAGGTCCCACCTTCCCCTAAAGGTATCCCAATGATCCACATATCTGAAATCCTCCCTCCTACATCAGCTCTGTAGCCACGTGTTCAGCTGCACTTGCTGTCTATTCCTAGCCTCACTAGCCCGTGACACCGGTAGCAATCATGAGATTACTATTCTGCTAGTCCTGCCTTTGAGCTTCCAAACTAACTCCCTATATTCATGTTTCCTAGTTATGTCATTGGTACTGATGTGTACCATGACTTCTGGCCGGTCACCCTCCCCCTTAAGAATCCTGTAGACTTCATCCGAGACATCCCTGACCCTGGTAGCCGGGAGGCAACATACCATTTGGGAGTTTCATTCGCGACCACAGAATCTCCTGTCTGTTCCCCCAACCATTGAATCTCCTATCACTATTGCTCTCCTATTCTCCCCCATTCCCTTCTGAGCCACAGAGCCAGGCTCAGTGCCAGAGACCTGGCCGCTATCCTTTACTTGACATCATTTATTAAATCTGCTGCATTAAACAGCACAGATCCAAAAATAGCCTGGTTGGATCACATTATATTGTTCTAAGAAATTGCCCCAAATACACTCTTATGAATCTTCCTCATGGCTACCTCTGCCAATCTGACTACCTAATCTACATGAAGATTAAAATTAGCTACAATTAATATATTGCTTTTAGTTATATACACTCATTATACCCTGATTTATTCTCTGTTCTACCATGTAACTACTGTTAGAAGCCTACAAATAAATAACTTAAAACATCATTCATGGGATGAGGTCAGCCCAAATTGCCCAGAGTGCAGTTAAGGATCAACCACATTGCTGTAGGTCTGGAGTCACATGTAGGCCAAACCAGCTAAGGATGGCAGTTTCCTTTAGAATCTTAATTTTAAAAAATTGAATTCAAATTCTGCCATGGTAGGATTTAAACCTACATCCCCAGCTTAGTAGCCCAGCAATAATACCACGCAGCCATCACCTTCCCTACTAACGCATGTCTTCTTCCCCTTCTTATTTCTTACCGCTACCCACTTGAATGACTCCCTGTAACAAGGTGCCAAGGTCAGTTTTCTCATTGTTCCTGCAGTTCCCACTTTCATGGTAAAATGATACAACATCAGGTACAACAAGCTAGGCATTTATACCCACTTTCAAAAGAAATGAATTAGATGTAGACATCTTTCAGATAATGTAGTTTTTTTTGTTGCAAATGCAAAGTTTAGTGGAAAAAGCAAACACAGCTTCTTTGTTTTCCTTCCTTTCCTGTCATGTAATAATTGTCTGAATTGCTTTATACCATCTGCTGCTCACATGTCGAAGAATGAGAATGTTGCATGTTCTGATGGACGTTACGCAAAGAGTAACACTCATTCAGGTAAGGTTAAAACACTGTGTGATGCTGAGGAAAGTTAATTTCTGATGGTTCATTCATTGTAATTTATCTAGTTTCCTATGGCCAAGAGTAGTTTCGGAATCATACTGATGCAGATTCTATTGACCCTCCAATCATTGTCCAACCTTCAGCATATGTCATTCGACATACTCTGCTGAATGACTATGTGCTGCTTAAGTATACTTCACACCAATTTCTAAAGTAAATAGCATCTTTTCCCATAAGAAAAACCTTCTAGGAGGTGGATTTTGGATATCAATGAAGCATTGGATATAACCCATCCTTAAATGAGAGTACACATGGGCAAAGTGAATCTTTGCTCCCAGAGAACTGTGTACTCATGAACGATGATGTAGTCACTCAACACAGTGGCCATAAACATGGAGGTGAGGATATATTACAGGCTGCTGCCATTAACTTTGGCCTTTGATCTCTTCTTCACAGTGTTAAGTCTTGGCTGCGCTCATGAACATAAAAGTTGCAGGATGTTCAAAACCCATTGCAATCCAGGATGCTTTTCAGTGGTAAGTAATGCCTGGCCACTATAACTTTTATCCTCCTTAGGATGCATGAAGTGACATTTAACTTTGACATGATAGCCACCTAACCAGGTTCTACAGCTAAAATGACAGTTGACCAGACGTATTGAATTGAATTATCACGGTGCCAATCATGTGCACTCATTTTTAAAAAATTTCCTTGCCCTCAGCTTATGTCTAGGTGCAGTCCCAGGGTCCACTGTGGTGAGGAAACAGCTTGCTTTGTAGTGGTAACTGTTGACCTGATAGATTTGGACAGATGGTCCCATTTGTGTCTAACAGACTCAGACATGTTTAGAGTGTCCTGCCCAAATTGCCTCCTTCGCTGCACCTTCCACAGGGTTGGGGGTTACAGGCAAGATGGAGATGGAGTTGAATTGAATTACATCATTTATTGTCACATGCTTTCAATATGAAATACAGTGAAAAGTGTGTACCTTCACCATGCATAGGCGCCATTCATATTAACTTAAAATAAAATTTTAAAAAATGATAACTTAAAGGGAGTTTGACATTTCCTTCTCTGCTGCTACAATCTGGTCCAGGTTTCACCAGCCCATGTCATGGTGTCGCCAGAGTCCCCGCTCCGGGCTTCACCAGCCCACGCCATACTGCCACTAGAGTCCTGCTTTGGGCTACACCAGCCCACTCTATTGCCGCCTCCAGAGGCCCACTCCATGCAGAAGTGTGTGTCCCGCACCAGGTTTCACAGACTGGCCAACTGCAGCCAACTGTAGCCAAGCTGCCTCTGTAGACACTGCCGCCGCTCCGGAACCCATCAAAGCTGCCTTCCTACTGAAGACCTCTCTTCATCAGGTAAGTTTGGGCAAAAAGTAAATAAAACTGAGAAAAGAAGAAGGGGAGAAAAGGAAAAAGGGAAAAGGAAAAGGAGGTGAAGAGGACAAGCCTGGGCACAGGAGCCTGGATGCTGCCTACTCCACCATTGACACTTCAGTGCCCTGAGATGAGAATTTTTGGTGGTGCAGGATGGGGTGGGGCTGTGTGTATGCGTGTGTGTGTATGTGGGGGTTGGTGGCAGGGGGAACTATGTATGGTGTCTCCTCTGTCTGGATAGGTGCTCACACCCAGCTGTCTCCTTGGGCAGCACCTAAAGTGAGGTTGGGGTACATCATCTCACTCTTGTCTTGCTGTTCATGCTCAGCAGATGGGATGCAGGTCTGCATGCATATCTAAAAGCCACTGAACTTTCTGCTGGACCTGGCTTTCGATATCCACAGAACAGCCACATACAGGCAGACTGGAGCTAGCGTGGTACAGATAATGTTGGTAGATTCCCCCAACCCTTTGATCCAGTTTACTGATTGTCCAAATGCACAGGCAATTATGCAGGAAGTAGCTTTGTTGAAGACAAATTCATTAATAGCTGACACTGTGACATCATCTTCCGCCTCTGGTAGAAAAGGTACCTGGTCTCCCCATTACCACCCTGTTCTCAAGCAGCTGCAGAGAGGTGCTAGTGATGTGCTCACTAGAATGTGCTTCTAAATCTCATTTAGAAAGTGAACCCACTGAGCTGAAAGTCTCTGAACTGGTGGAGGGTGCGAGAGAAAGATTTGCTGGTAAATTCTCTGAGGTATCTGTGGCTTCTTCCTCAGAGGTGGTGGAGGAGCTGATGGACTGGCCTTTTTGAGACTGAGGATGTGTGTGGCTGCTGCTGGTTCTCACATAACTGAAGACAAGCTAATGGTTGTGCAATAGGTGTCGACACTTAAACATCTTGGTGGTAGGGGGACAGCAGCACAGCCATCACAATGAAGCTTACTTGGGTTAGCTTGACAATGGAAGTTTCGGCATCACCACATAAGCAATCACAGTTCTATCCTGCCATTTCAAGAAACGTTTCCTCATGGGGTAAGGAATGACAAATGTATGTCTTTGCTGTCTTCTCCCTATTGTGTGATATTTTTTCCTGCAAGAGATGGAGGGATTGAGTGAGATGGAAGTATCTGGAAGAGCTATGAGTGGTGGTGCCAAGAGCAGGAAAGGTAGTGAGATGTTCCCAGTGTGAATAGGAAGTACAGGGGGCATGTTTAGTGGTTTGGAGGTGATGGTGTGGGCAAGAGCCATTGAATGGTGATGCTGCTTGAAACGATGTGAGTTGTAGACGAATTGCCTTGGTGGCAGAGTTAGTGTGTCAGGACACCCTAAAATAACACTTTGCCAAAAAATGGGAAAATTCAGCCTATATAATTAGGATAGTTGGACAGAATATCCAATTAGCACGACAATTTGTGTTAATGCTCTTTTCACTGTAAACTCCTACTACTCCTCAACTAAAAATTCCTGGTGGAAATTACTCACCCCCACTTTTTCTTTTTGTATTTGCTTCCTATTTTCGCCAGTAAGGTCAAATAATCAGCTCTGCCACTAGACCCTGGCAAAAGGAAAATTTAATTAAAAAGTTAAATGCAACCTTAATTAAAAATGATATAGAAAATACATAACACATTTCATACCATTTCATTTGATCATATACCTGTGTCAGAAATATGGGGCAGCACAGCAATAATACATAATAGTTGATGATTACAAGTTGTCTTTAAGACTTCTTCACTGAGCATTTGCTAAAAAAAAACAAAATGTTAGTTTATGTTGAAAGGGTTTTGATTTCCTTAGTGCTGATTTTCTTTTCCCATAATAAAAGGATATGTAACAGTCTAAAAGAGAAACTCTACACCTCTGTGTATTGTTTCTTTACCAATTTCAGAAATTCAACATCAGTCTCTTCAAAAGGCATTTAATGGGGATTTTAGAAGGAAATAATTCTAATACTTTAAAGAACTTGGAAACGATGATTCTAGTATTTTCCTAGATACAGTAAAACCTTTGAGCTTAGTAATTTTTGCTCTCTTAACCTTCAAGCATATTGATGGGAAATTTTACAAAATAATTTCATGAATGATTCAGTACTGAGGTTTCGAAATTATGAAGCCAGCCTCAAAAAACTGAAACACTCTTCACTACCGAAAATAAATTTGAGAGGATACAGAGAGGGAAACACAATATAGCTGCAAACTATTTGAATCTGGATTGCAGTCATAAAACTAGAAGACACAAGTAAATTTGACATTACATTAAAAAATTCTCCACAAAGAATGATATGTGGATATATTCTTCCAATTGGAATCATAAGGCTAACTTTAGACCCTAGTACAGTCAGGGAAAAGGGCATAGGAGGATAATGAAAAGTGAAATTGAATTCAATTCCAACTGATCTGAAACCATTTAGCATTTTGTGTCGTTTTACAATTCTCTCACCAAATCCCAAGTTACCTTATTTAAATATATTGCAAAACAGTGGCCCACTGCTTATTGTTTTGACATTCAAGCAAAGTTACACTAAAAAGTGTAAGAGGCAGCCCTTGCCAGGATCAGCTGGAGAATGTGGACAGTTTCAGTAGCCATTTCTGCAGCTGGAAATTATATTTTGGACTTGTTTTTGACGTACCACAAAGATACCATCTAAGACTCACTTTGCTTCAGACCAATAGAAAGTTTCAATGATCATAATGAGGATTTCCTGAGAGGAGATATAGAAATTCATACGGACATGGGGGGCAATGTGAACATGCATATGCTGACTCATTAAACTAGTTCTGGCAATCTCCTCCTAACACCATTTTCCCACAGCAAATGGGACTATGGGTTCACAACCTTTTACTCATAGAATCTGAGGCATTTCACGTTGACAATATCATACTCTGTTGGCTGATATTTGATTGGCATTGTGCACCATTTTCTCTTATTGAACAGCACTCACTATATAAATACAAGAGCAGGTCAAAGGCTAGAAATACTGCAGCGTGTAACTTACCTCCTGACTCGCCAAAGCCTGACCACCTACTTCAAGGCAGAAGTCAGCAGTTTAATGGAATACTTACCAAGTGCCTGGATGATTGCAGCTCCAACAATATTCAAGAAGCTTGACACCATCCAGAAAGCAGCTTGCTTGATTGGCACCACAGCCACAAACATTTAATCCAAGTTCCAAGATTTTGATCCAGCAATATTGAAGGAATGGCAATATAATTGCAAGTCGGGATGACAGAGCTTGAAGGGGGATTTTCAGGTGGTGGTATTCCCATGCATCTGCTGCCCTTGTCATTCTAGATTGTAGTGGTCGAGGGTTTGGAAGATTTTGTCTAGGGAACTTTGCAGAATTATGCAGTATATGTTGTAGATGGTACACACTGCTCCTACTTGCACTGATGTTGGAAGGAATGAATGTTTGTGGATGTGGCACAAATCCTTGGTAGAATTATTTGAGAAAAAAATGGAAAGAGGCTTGAATGGAACATGAACACCAGCATGGATAGTAGGATAGAGTAGCCTATCTCTGTGCTGCATATCTTATGCAATCCTATGAGATGGAGGCTGAATGTCTTTAGTTTCTCCAAATGTTATATTGTGGAAATCTTAGTTCATCCAGCACAGGATGTCAGGAAAATATTATGTGTAAGAAATGCTAAAAAAGGTAAAGAACACACAGGGCATCCTAGCATTATGGAAAAAATTCTCCAATGACAATGAAAATTCCTAAGAATTTAAACAGGCAGTAACCATACAAAAACATACTTCTTTTATCTTGTTAAATGGTTTTTAAAAGCAGACATTTACAAAAAAAAGCATGACCAATATAATTCAGATTATTTTGTATAAAACTGAAGAGTACAGTATTACATACGGCCATTTTTTTCTGGCCATGTGACTTAACATATTTTGGTAGCCTAATGTTGTCTATTTCCTGTATCTGATCATATTCAGTATATTAGATTGACCAGGAGCAACAGTTTGACATGTTACATATGAATTAAAAATTTACAACCCAAATCTAAAAGTGCCTTCTTGTGGGGTAAAATGCTATGATTTATTTTAAATTTTGTGCTTATGTTTCAAAATAAGATTGTTATTATTATATCATCAACTGCTATTTTCCTTAGATAGCAATTTTCATGTTTGAATTGCTACGATTTGACTTCTGATTTTCTGAAATACTGGAAGGAAATTAGCATTTGAGTTAGTTTGCTAAATTACCATGATAAATTCTGTTGAGGCTACAGATGACCTTTTGGATGTAGAAAAACTGACTAAAAATGTCTGACGGATATATTTTTCAATGGGCATCTATCCATTATCACCAATTTATAAATGAATCCACTGTAAATTACTTACGCTGTACAGTTTAAATTTTCCGATTACGTGATATCAGGAATACCTGATCTAGTCATGGTAAATTTTTGTTGGAAATTTTAACATTATATTTTGTCATTCACAAAAATCATCAGACTTATTTGGGTGGGGATATCATGGTTCTTACCTCAAATGGTTTATATAGTGGCATCTTAGCATACAAATCAAGACCTTCAGCAATAATGCCGGACATAGTTATTTCACCTTTATAGTCAACAGTTTCATTGTATGTTTGAAATATCTTAATCGTTGGAACTTGTTGAATCTAAGAAGCAATGATATCTTAAATTAGCTTGGAATTAATTATGCTTAAGACCTGATACTTCCTTTGACACCAAAATAAAATGTCAAATCAAAAATGTTTTGAAGATGCAGCAAATCTAAATACAGCTTTCGTAATTATAAAATTTTGCAGGCTAGAAATACGTTATCTATTTCTTTGGATTATAGGTGTTGTGATTCGTGATTCTGACCAAAGTCACCAACTGGCAAAATTGGTCCAACCATCTCACCTGCACGATTGTAGCATTTGCCAAGATGCTCCCACGTTGCTTCCTTTTTCTTCACATTGCTGGCTATCTCCGTTCTCTAGCAGTGAAATAAGTGGTGCAGCCAATTGGTTCTTTTTAAAGGCAAGCTGTCCTTCTTAAAGAGATGCTGCAATTAATGATGTTTGTGGGTTTTAATTAACGGAAAGTTGAACACTCAGGCAGAAAGAAGGTTCTGGGTGACATGAATCATGCTGGAGGTTTTACTTGTGGACCTTGGACAAGAGTCCTTCAAGGACCACCCTCAGAGGTGGCCAAGGAGGTTAATGCGGTTGTTGCTGGGTCAGAATCGGCAATTAAACGTTTAAGCCGGTTCTGAAAGAAAGTGAGTCAGAGTAATATTGGAACAATATATTACTCTCTGGTTAAATATGGTTTAGTCAGTTTTTATGTAGAGAAATGGTCCAAATAGAATCCCTTAAAACATATCTGAAGAACAAGACAAGACTGATTTCTTACAGATCACTAAATATTGTAAAAGAAGAGAAAGATGCACACAAATCAGAAAATGTTATGTCAACAGAAGAATTGCAATTGTTCCCCAAAGTGTTGGATATTAGGTGCTCCACCAAGTGAATTTTCTGTAGGGAGCATGTAAAAGAGAGTGGGTAGCTTGCCACTTCCCACTTCCTTCCATATGGTGGGTGGGCATGCATCAAAATCAGTAGCCTGTCAATTATACTTAAATAAATAATTAGGAAACAATTGAACAGCATATAACCCTGCCCATATCACAACATGGTTGACAAAGATGGTTCGGCAGAATGGATGGTCCTTTTTCACAATAAAAAAAAGTTTTTAAAACAACAGAAAGTAAAGGGTACAATATTCTGAGACTAACCTTCGCTCACCTGAGACATCCCCAAGAAGATACTGCCCAAACTTCCTTCCTGTCTATACTTCAAATCCCAACAAATTCCCATCACTGAGATGGGGAAACACTCCCCATCTAAAAACTTTTGACCTAACTCACCAGAACCATTAGGTCTCCTTTGTGGGCCTGCCTCAACTGATAGCACCTACTACTGAGTTGTGGCATTTTGCCCACTATTGGAGCTGCTAATCATTCAAATCGACTGGCAACTTCAGAGGGTGGGTCTTCCTCCCAAATTGGGGGTGGGATTCTAGGCCATTAGCGCTTCAGCTAATGTCATATCATGGATTATCATTTTGAGTCCAGTGACCCCTTTTCAGAACTCCACATTGCTGAGCATTTTCTGTTTTTGTGTGTTTCAGAACTCCACATTGACACTTGTTTGTTTTATATTGATTTATTAGGTTATGGGTTCAGGCTTTTCTTCCTGGAGTGAGTGGTGCAGTCCTGTCCATAATTTTCTACCCACAGTCTGTATTTATTCCAGGGTGCTGATAGAGGCCAGACAGCAAATTCATGAAGTATTGACAATTACTATTAAAAAAATCAAGACTGAAAAGGTACCAGCACTATGAAAATAGACAAATATGGTATCTGCATTCGAAAGTGTGAACTAGCAGAGGCAAATATGGAAACATTATTCTTAATCAATGCAATTACCTGAAATGAAAGTATTAGGAGAAATTGAGAAGCTTCTGTACAACAATAATCTTGTTAACTGCAGTTAGCATGAATTCAAAAAGGGAGTATATACTGACCATCTTCCTCAACATTTTTCAAGGAAGCGACAATCTAAATGTGCTGTGAAAAGCTTTATGGTGTTTTATGTTACATCAACTTCCAAAATGATTTTGATAACGTTCTGTATAAAAGACTATTAATTAATTCAGAGTTACAGGATTGCTGGTTACAAAGTTTTAAACTAAACTTTCAACCACACATCATGATGATCTGGTATGAAGCCCAAGTGGTATTGAACTGTTTTGCAGTCAGTGGCTGTTTCCCCAAGTTGTGCTATTAGTTTTGCACTAATATGCATTCCAAATCACTTTGCATTAAAACAAAGCAGTAACAAAACTGGCCAAGCACATCTATCCAATTGCCTTGCACTTATCATCTTAACAGATAATGACCATTGTGTTTACAGAGAAGATGGAGTATTAAAAAGCCAAACCAGTTACACAAATTATTTTTGCATAGGTAATCAACACATTTATATCCAAATATATTAAAAGTCTTACATCTGTACACACTTTCAAGGACATTATATATTTCTATGGCCACACTTTTAGAAGAAATCAGCTATTTAACCAATGATTTTACATTACACCCTTTCACCAGTGAGGCCACATTACTTCAACAATAAGTTTCCTAACTCTAGTCAATACTATCTCAATATTTCTATGCTTCAAATCAATGCAATTCCCAATTATCATAAGCATTGCTTTTTAGCTGTAAATATCTACCAAAAGTATCGAATAAAAACAAAAATGTATCACCAGAATTTGAAAACTAAATTGTCCGTTTGATCTGACTGTGCTTGGGACAGGATTTCTAGGCCCCAGTATGGGTAGGAACAGAGGTCGCAGAGTGTTGCCTTCTGGCTTGGTTTCCCATTGTTGCTTTTGCCAGCAAAGAACTTCCTTAGGAAAGAGAAAGGTGGGCCATGGAAACTCATCCAATTTTGGGATCAAGACAATTAATATTGTTAATGAGCTGTCTATAAGCTTGTGAAAGGAGACAGGGGTTTTGGTGAGAACACAAGGACTGCGTACTGGATCAGGTACAGACAAGATGTATGGTAGTGGCAAAAGATTAGTTAACACATCTTCGTAGTTGAGCCCATAAAAGGGAGAATGTCTGAGAGGGGAATTCATCCATTGCAAGCAGCTCCTTTGCATGTGCACAGGTTGCAGAAGGAGTGTTCTATATACACTCAGGCAGGGCAGAGAGTCATGTCATCATAGGGACAGAAGAGAAAGGGCTAGGCTTACAATCATTATTAGGAGAACTGCTGAGTGCAAGGGAGCTTGCAAGGGAGCATTTTTTTTTGATCTTGAATCTAGTGGCAATGAGGATCAACGTTCTCAGGATCAGAGGCAGCGCTCAGGGCATGAGAAGGGTAAAGGAGAGGGATGGGGGCATACATGCAACATAGGACCGACTGATGTAGCTGCCTAGAGACACTGGGGAACCAATGGCATGTAAAACTGTGCCTATTGATGTAGATGTCCATTGAGGTTTGTTCCCCTTTCATCGAAGACCTCACAACTTGCAGCAATGCTTGCCATGCCCTGCCAATAGTTGTGAAAGTCACTATGACCTTGAATTTCTTTGGTTCTCATTCCTTTTAAAAATAAACTGCAGACATAAGTGTCCACTCACAATGATTGCACACTACTGCATCTTGCAAGTCACTGTTGTCCTATTTGTGAGAGCTGGACATTACATACAATTTCAGACAGATGGTGCCTCGTGGGCATGAAGAGCAGGGGATTAGTCTCTTTTGCTGGATGCACCCGGAGCAAGATATCATCAATTGTTCTCATGTGGCTTTTGAGGTCAATGAGATTCATCAACATGAAGGGCTTCCACTTCCACAATATTTACTCAGTGTGAAACTTGACAAGATTTTTCTGAATGTTTATGCTCAGTTTCCTGGCAGCTGCCAAAACCTTTTAGCATTTAGCTGTCCGGAAAGCACAGCTCTTCATTCTACTCCCCAAACTAAAGGTTAGATTCTAGTGGACTAGAGTTACTTTTTGAATAGATGTGTCCTCAACTCTTTACATGACCCAGACGTAGAGTCAAAGATGCACTAAAACTGAAGCCATCTGTTTAGAAGTAGCACCAGTAGCAGTCATGAGGCTGAAGGGATGGTAGGACCAGTTTGGTGGGGCCTACAGTATGTTCCTGAAAGGATCTCAGCACTATGGTGGTGTACTGCATTCTTCACAATATAGTCCTCCAAATAAATGCACTTTGAAAAAGGTGAGGCACTCAAATGACAGACTGTCAGAGGAAAAGGAGATGGAAGAGAAGAAGGAAAATTAATAACAGAAAAGTGGAAAAGCTCAGCAGGTCTGGCAGCATCTGTAGAAAAAATCAGAGTTAACGTTTCAGAACTGAGGAAGAGTCACTGGACCTGAAACGTTAACTCTGATTTTTTCTTTGCAGATGCTGCCAGACCTGTTGAGCTTTTCCAGCAACTTCTGTTTTTGTTCCTGATTTACAGTATCCACAGTTCTTTCGGTTTTTAAGAACAAAAAGGTACCTGGCTGCTCAAGGAGGTGACTGAATCTGGTAGAGAAATCAATAACCATCTAATCCAGTCATTTTGTTCTAGTTGAATCCTTATAATCCAGGATGATGGTATGGTCCGGAATTCACTCTGAGCTGCCTAGGAGTGTCATTCTATTTAAGATCCAGTTTGGAATAGTTTCAATCTTGCATCAGTGATCAGTGAATGATCCAGAGGTTTCCACTTTCAAAGCTGTTTGCTTCTGTTCAACATCTCTTCCTTCTTTTCTCATCCTTCCATCAAACAATGAAAGCTCGTACATCAGGCATTATGTACCAATATCTATATTGTGTTAAAAAAAAAACCCTAGTGAATCATTCAGTGCTCTTCCAGTTATGTTACGGCATCTGCTCATGACCACTTCTCTGTGGTGTGCCCCTTCTGGCCCTGGATGAAGCGAAGGCAGCCTGCTCATTTGTATCTGCTGCTGACTGAGATGTCCATAGTGAACATCTTGTTGTATAGGTGCCAGCGGAGCTTGTCCAGAGGTTGCTGCACTGGCATTAGCACAGATGCAGCCTCAGTCCCTGCTCCCTGCTGCT